TTGACCAATTACAAGCGCCGAAATGCAATTGTTCTAAATACCAATGCGTTTGACTGATTACAAGCGACTGAGTAGTATTTTTGAAACTGTAGCACCATTTGCTAATAACAAATTTTAAAAAAAAGTTCTTTGAAATTAATTTTGATTTAAAAACATATTAAAATTTATGAACTTGATTAAGTTTATTGGAAACAATTCCAAAACATGTCAACGAATTTTATTCGTAAAGATGGACTTGAAATTAAAGAGTCGTAACAAAATTGTCCTATTTTTTGGCTTAGAAATAAATAATTTCAGTTAATTTTTTAATCAACTTAAAAACTTATTAAAATCTAGTTGAAATCAGTAGATTATAATCAATTAAATTGAATGATTAATAAAAATAAACTAGTTTAAAACACTTATTCGAACCCTTGTCGAAAAAATAACAGATTTTGCTAGATCCGATCGATTTGAAACGATTGATCACGTATTTTCATCAGTTATTCAAAAATTACTCGAATCACTAATTTAAATGAATGATTAACATCAACTAAATCAAAACAACACTGGAAACAATATCAAAAAGTTTCAAATTCTTGATTTCATTCATTTTTGTGTTATTTCCATTTAGAGCAAATCTTCTTTCTAAATCTGATACTAGACAAGAATAGAGTTGACTAAAAACAATAAATTTGTTTTATATTTCTCAGAAAATATTCAAAGAAAATTCACAAAGCTATAATGAAAATTTCCAGAGAATTTTTATTTTTATTCACTCAAAAAGATATTTTTTTAAAAAAAATTTGAACATTGTAGCAATTTAGTCCTTATATTATCTAGTCCTTACTGATTTTTTACTGCCTGTAAAAAAGGACAAATTTTGAACAGAAGAAAAAAAAAGTGGAATATTATTTATATATTATTAAGTCATATTATTAAGTCATGTTAGTAACACTTTTTGGAATATAAAGCTACCAAAGATTTTACCAACAAACTTATACTTCTTTTTTTTACACTTTTTTTTACTAGAATGACTTAATCTACTTGAATCTGCTTTGTTTCTAATCTTTTTTTATAATATAACGTAGACATATTTTGAAAATTTTAACATTTCGAAAATATTTACTATTATAAAAACAGTTGCATTTATTCAATTAACAAAAACTCCCTTTCAATATGCATACTGGCTGGTAAAGCGTTGAGCCCATGTCCGGAAGGTCGTGAGTTCGATCCCTACCAGCCTTATCCCCACCAGCCGTAGACTATCGCTTGGTTGTCTCTGATATTGTTATCATAACGTTTCGCTATTTTCAGTTTATAGTTCTTTAAAGAGTAACAGTAAATTAAACATATGGAGAATGTTGTAATTGCAACCACAAATAACTCGGACCAGAGTAAATATTTTTGCCACAGAGCGGAAATATATATTACGATGGTTGGAAGCAAATTGTTAGATCATGATGTCCAAGAAATCATGAGTTCGATCTCTGCCGGTCGAAGACTCCTCTTGTAAAAAATGGTGACTGGTGCACTCTAAATCTGTCGAGATCACTGAGTCTTATAAGTTCCAATAAATCAATACTACTGGGGGTACTAGAACGCAGATTGATCGTGCTCTGGTTCAGGTCAAAATTACGATCTACGACTGAATGTGTGGTGTGTGAATGTGACCTCTCCATAAAAAGCGATATGACTCCGGATCATCCTCAAGGATGTTTCCCAGACTATCGTCAATAAACCATTGTGCAACTCTAGTACGAAGTCAATAAAAGTACCGTACCTATCAATACGCATATTAATATCTAAAAATGAAACTTAGAGAAAAAGCTCCTTTGCTACAAGCAAGCATTATTACATGTTTGAAGAAATCGGTCGACTAAAACTGTCTAATGAAAGTTTGGTCAGGTTGAAAGCGGGAGGACAAGGGGTGTATACTCTAATTTAGGGAAATAAGTGAAGGGCTAAATGCATTAAGTTAAATCCAACTCATGCTTATTTTGTTGAAAATTTTCTCGTGCACGATATAGTGCCTTCGATTAGTGCAAAAACTGAATACAAGTGCAAAATCGATTCGGGGCCTCCCTGGACGAGTGGTTTCGTCTTCCCACCAAACACTCTACAGAATAGAGGTGCTGGGTTCAAATTCCACCATAAACTCTTAATGCATCTTTGCCCTTCACTAAGTTCACCTGCCTGTTCTTCAACTTCTCCAGGACTTATCTGTACTTTGTAATGAGCACAGTAGTAGTAATAATACTTTATCAGCATCGCATTAGAGCTGCACATTGGGCGATAGGCTACGGTTTAAGAAACATCCCTGAGGTAAAACGAAGACAACATGCTATTATAATTTTGATTTTCCGCAGAAGGGATGGCCCCCCTGCTTTGGTATAAATAAATCGAATCTCTTTTGTACAATAAATATTGTGAGTGGAAACAATCGAAACTAAGCTGACCAGCGTCCAAGCTACCAAGAAACTAAAGGAATGGTACTGGAATTTCTATGCAGATATTCGTAAACTCCTTGCTTTACCTTCCACTTTAATATTCTGAGAACAAAAGTCATTCTCAGTGATTCTTTAATGTAAATAATTTTTAAGTAATTGAAAAGGTAAAAATGTGAGTTTTCGAATCTTTTTTTAGAAATTTTACTCTATCAGATTTTTGGTTTTCTGAGGGCACTGGTCACTTTTATCTTATCGAATTTGATTTCATTGGGGACCTGTTTGGTAGAGAGGTCTCGTTGATCCCCCAAACGCTTTTCAGCGTGCAGGTAGTGGGTTCGAATCCCACAGTAAACCAGGGTGTATTTTAGCTATTTTCTTTCTAAGGTCTGTTCTTTAACTTGGCTAGGGCTTATAAGTCGTCTTTGCAATAAACACACTTTGAAATGAACACATGAACACTAGTTAAATAAAATTAAATTAAATTTCATTAGACAATCATCAGCGAATTAGGAATCTGGAGTTACTTGGTTATTAAACCCAGGCTCTCAAGTGTCGTCAGGGACCGAATTTTTTATTGAAAAGAAGTACAATAATTTCATTAAAGATTGTTACATGCTACTACATGATAGGGTTTTGAAACCGGAGACACCCGATCCTTAGTGAGGATGCCAGGGGCATTTTTGCTGATCTGGGATGCAACCCTGAGGATATTCCGATGACATGCCATCGCAGTTTCGATCATCTGCAACGGAAATGCATGACTCCCCAGCTTTGGCAACCCTATTACCTGCACATGAAATCGAGCACTTTATGGTAGAACATATTTTACGAGGAACAATAACGTGCACCTTAGGTCCTTTCGCAAACAGATCAGTGGTCATCTCCAAGCTCACTGACCGCTGCCAGTGATGCTTGACTTCGGCGTCCTACTGGAAACAGTGTTTTAACAATCAATCCATTTCTGGAACAAATAGTAATGGATTTCGAGCTCAACTCTTTGATGCAGACGGGACACTGGTGTCCCTTTAATATATTTTTTTTTCTTGCGTTCAAATGGAACGTGATAGCCCAGTGATCAGAGAATCCTTATCTCCACTGTGACTCACCGAGTACTTGAGATATGTTATCTGTGGAATCGCAAGTACTGTGATCTGTTTCTGAGCAGTACCATGGGCACAGGAATCAGGAGAAAATTTCCTTCCCTGTCAGATCAATGTCTAAATTGAGATGGTATGTCTTCGAATCATACCCAAGGATGTTTCCCAGACCGTAGCCAATAGCCCATTGTTATAGATCTAGTGCGACGTAAATAAAGTACTTTTCTACCTATCTGGCGCTCATATTTGAAACAAAAATATATTATTGTATTTTGTATATTGGTCTAATAGTTACTAAAAAATCTGTTAGATTATCAGAATTATATTTGTACTAAAATGCAAAATATACGAAAAAGTAATTTTTAAAAAAATTCATTCATATTCACAAAATATCAAAATTGTTTTTTTAAATTAAAATAATTTCAATGAGAATAACTGTTTATCTTAGATCAGCAAATCAGCGCAAATTTGAAATATTACGGTTTAGAAGTGAGTCGTGTTTTACATTTAACGCAAAAAAAAGACATAGGTGGGTTTCAAACTGTATTTCAAAACCATGAATTATTAAAACGTTAAAAAAATATTTTTCACTTATTTTGACCTAAATTAAAATAAAATAATGAAGAAAATATTAAAATTATGTTTAATAAAAATTCCGCGTAAAGGGTTAAGTGTCCTTAGTGGTCAATTGGATATTTGGGGACGTTACCCTCCTGGCATCCTCATTGTAAGTCAGTGGATGAATATGAAGTTCGATTAAAAAAGTGAAACTTCACCCCTTAAAAGTACTAATGGAATGCGAAACATAGGATCCAAATATGCCAGGTTATGCTTTCCCTAATAAAATGAATCTTTTATCATAATATTTTTATGAATTTCACGTATATCTTATACTTTTGTCCCAAAATAATATTAACATAAGATTTAAGTATATAGTTTTTTCATTTACTTCTATGATACTATGACTTCTACAATGCATTAAATTAATAGGAAAAAAACATGGTTTTTAAAAATATAAATCTGGAATAAATAATTCCTTTCCAAACAGCAATTTCATTATTTCTAAAACTCTTAAACAATCCTTGAGAAATAATTAATTTTCCATGCTAAAACATGCAAAAAAAGCTAATTAAAGCAAGTAATAAAAGTAAAGAAGTGCACATATTTTAAAAAAGAAGAAAATCCCTTTGTGGTATTAATTTCAAAAACTTAATTGCGAAATTTTATTAAAATGAAGTAAATTATTACTACTAAATATGACTATAATAAGTATCTGTATCTACAAGAAATTCCTGTTAAAATTCATTCTTCAAAAGAAACCAATTATTTTAAAATGATCAAATTTTATAATTTCGAAGTATAAATATTTTTAATCTTTCTTTTAATTTGATGATAAATATTTAATTAACTTGGCAAGCAAAGTTTTAATTTATGAAAAGAGCTTAAAAGGATAATATTGAAATGAAAACTTTACCTGTAAAAATAATCTTTAGGGCAGCTCACAACTGGTGAAAAAATGTTGTATCGTGCTTAAATTTGTATTTACAAACGTTGCCATGAGAGAACATTATCGGACTTCAAAGGTGTCGCAACTCTCAATTACGTCACGTTTGTTTCATGTTTTATCCTTTTTCTTCTGTCTAGCTAAAGTACAAGTTTCTTTTCAACTAATAAAAAGCATAGCCTGCCATCTATTGGCCTCAAGACAAAACAATAGTCAATCTAAAAATAGAAAGTGCTTTGTTCTGGAATTACTTTTAAATTAATTTACTTTTATTACAATTTATTATTCTTGTGTATAAAATTTATGATTTCCGTAACTAAAATATGGGGGGAATGTCTTTTCAAAATTTAATTAATTTATTTTTGTAAAGTTGTGAAATTAAAAGCAGAAACCTATCAAATTTTGTCTTTAAAAAAATCTATTTCGGAGAGAGCTTAACTGATTTTAAAAGCACTAATTAACGTAATAAAAAATAAGATATAATATCGTTTGCACAAATATTCTAATTATTGACAAATATTTACAAAGAGGTTAATTTGAATGAGGAAAATTTCTGCCAAAAATAGTTTAAATAACTATATCCAAAATATATTTATTTAATGAAAATCATTGAAATATAGATTGATTGATTTGTTAATTTACGTCGCACTAGAGCTGCACAATGGGCTATTGGCGACGGTCCGGGAAACATCCCTGAGGATGATCCGAAGACATGCCATCACAATTTTGATCCTCTGCAGAGAGGATGGCACCTCCGCTTCGGTAGCCCAACGACCTGCACGCGAAGTCGAGCACTTTACGGTAGAACAGTTTAACGAGGACCAATACCGCACATCCTCGGTTCCTACACAGACTGATCCAAGTGGTCAGCCACCAGCACACTGACAGCAGTCAGTGACGCTTGACTTCGGTGATCTACTGGGAACCGTGTCTTAACGATCAGTCCACTGCGGGACAGTAGAAACCAAGAGAAAGCTAGTTTAAAACAATTATTGTTTATTGTTGGTTTATTGGGTTTACTTACATTTGCTGGTTATATAAATGGTAATTTATCCTATAATGAAATATGTTTAGAGTACGATATTTTATTTAGCATATAAAGCATCATTTGTTATAAGGCTTTGTTCTGGAATTATTTTTTAAATTAATTTACTTTTAATACTATATATTATTCTTGCATATAAAATTAATGATCTCCATAACTGAAATACGGGAAAAAATTTCCTTACAAAGTTTTATTAGTTTACTCTTGTAAAGTCGTGAAATTAAAAGCAATGACCTATCAAATTTTGTTTTTAAAAAAATTATATTTCGGTGAGAGCGTAATTGATTTAATAAGCACTAATTAACGTAATAAAAAAATAAAATTTAAAATCGTTTAATATTCCAATTATTACCAAATATAAACTAAGCGGTAAGATAATTTCTGCCAAAACAGTTTAAATAACTATATCTAAAATATATTTATTTATCAAAAACTATTGAAATATAGAGTTATATGAATGGTAATTTATCTCATAATGAAATATGTTTAGAGTTCACTATTTTATTTAGCATTCAAAGCCTCATATGTTATAAGGCTTCCATTACAATGCATTAAACTAATAGGTAATAAATAGGGTGTTCAAAAAATATAAATTTAGAATGATTAATTTCAAAACAGTTATTTTTTGCTTTCATTGTTCACAGTATGCTTAAAAAATATTACTTGTACTCTAAATGTTTTTGAGGAAAGAAAATGATGTTTCCCTTAAGCTATTTTTCAAAAAATAATTATTTTTAAAAACAATAAAAAGCTACCAAACAAATTGCAAGTCCCTTACGTTACTTGGTCATAAGAGGGATTTGAATACAAATCCTCATAGTCCACACTCGGGGCTCTGACCCTTCAAACTCTATCATATCTATAAAAAATGAAACTTATCTATTTTTAAGAAAATTGAAATGGTTGTTTTTTGTTATTTTTTAATGCTGCGTTTTTAAAGATTTTCTAAAAGAAATCCAGATATTCTTTTGTATTTTTGTGGTATAAGATTGTCAAGTGAAAGTTAATTAAAATGGTTATTTTTTGTTATTTTTCGATGCTGTGCTTTTCTTTTTAGATTTTCAAGTGAAATACAGTTTATATTTATTATTATTTTAGCTAGAATATTGAATATATTTGAATAAATTGATTTGTTAAACTGGCTGAGCTATTGCGAATGCTGAAAACGAGCTCTCAACTGAAGTCCTTCTTATCGAAAAGTTTTTCCACTTGTTATCCAAATAGAAAGTTGTACAAAGATGTACCAACATTGGCATAGACTTTTTAGGATCGGTTAATAATTTTGATACCATGATTCAAGCATTTTTTTCCTTTTCCTGTTACCCTAAAAAAGCTTTCATCTTAGCATATTAATTAACATGTTTTAAGTTTTAAAAAAAAAGTAATAAAATAAGCTCGATCACAAGAAAAAAAAGTATGAAACGAGTATAAAATATAATGCCAACACAATAACTATTCCTAAAATGCCATATTATTAAAAATACGCCAATCGACTACACAAATTAATAGATTTTACTTACAGATGATAGATGAGGCGTGTTGAACTTGATATATACTTGTTAAAGACAGCTAATATCTTATCAACTTCTTATAAACCGGACTTTTCAGGATCAGTTAATAATTTTAATACCGCGATTTAAAATTTTTTTTCCCTGTTACCCTAAAAAAAGCTTTCCTCTTAGCATATTAATTAACATGTTTTAAATTTTAAAAAAGAATAAGCTCGATCACAAGAAAAAAAGTATCTAACGAGTATAAAATATAATGCCAACTCAATAACTATTCCTAAAATACCATATTATTAAAAATACGCCAATCAACTACACAAAAAGGTTAGATTTTACTTACAGATGATAGATGAGACGTATTGAACTTGGTATACTTGTTAAAGATAGCTAATATCTTATCAACTTCTTATGAACCAGATTAGTTTCAGTTCCCAAAACCGTCTTTCTATCTGTTGTTTCATTTTTTGAATGCTGCGTGGATATAATGTTCTGAATCATCATGGATGTTATTTTTCATAATAATGTGTTTAAAATCTGGAAAATTCCTTATGGCATCGTACCTGTGAAATTTAGAATGGCGAAATTGCGATTGGAAAGTTCTTTATTTTATTTCAAATAAAGTGTCCTGGGTACTTCCTCAAAAGTTGATTTGCTCATTTATAAAACAACTAATCAATATTTTCCAATGAGTTCCCTTTTATTTTAATTTAAACCTGTACTAATGCATAAACATGCACTTATTGTAGAAATATATATAACCGGTCTATTGAACGTCATTACTAAGTTTTAAATATTAAGGTTGCATTTTAAAACTTTCTTCTAAAGCAACAAGTCCAACTGGCGGTCCTCGGGCCGCATGTGGCCCGCCAACTTCTTATTCAGGCTGATCGGCCTCAGTTTTCCCATTAAAATGTAAACAAATTGTTTTATAATCCCTCTGTTCCATTGTTTTATAATTAATAATTCAACTATTAATTGTTATTGTATTTATAAGAGGTAAGAGGGTATTGTCCAACTTTTTCAAACTGCTGCCCGCCAGGTGATCAGTGACCGGAATTCTGGCCCGTGGACTCTTTGCAGTTGGACAGCCTTGTTCTAAAGTATAATAATAAATTTAAAATTTCTTGAAAATTCTTACCACCTTAAAATTTAAAATTGGTAGATTTTATTGAACACTTTTCAATAAATAAAAGTTATCAAACTGGTTTTTTTTAAAAATGAAAGTTAATGAATAAATAAGAAAATCGCGTTCATATGGACTTTGGTTCATACATATGGTATGGCTCATATATTCTTTGGTTTGCGTGGATTTGCGCATACGTTGGTTTTGGAGAAAGAAAATTATTTTTATTCTCAAATTTTGTATTTTGGCAAGCTATGAAATAGTGATCAGAAGTAAACAAATAAACAAACAAAAAAAAAGGTCAATAGAGGCTACTGTACCCCTTTAGATGATATATAGGTCTTTTAAGATGACCTGCTGTAGACTGATAGTTAAGAAGCGGTTCCTAGTAAATCTCTGGAAGTCAAGCCTCACAGACAGCAGACAGTGAGTGGATGGGCCACGTCTTTAATTAGACTACCAGCAAACAGAGGGTGTGCGGTATCAGTCTTCGATATATAGTTCTACCGTAAAAAGCTCGACTTCGCGCGCTGTTCATCAGACTACCAAAGCGGGGTAGCCATTTCTCCCGTAGAGGATCGAAATTGAGATACCATACATTCAAGTTGAAGAACTGAATTAAAATTGTACTGCATAATATTAAATCTTGGTAGAATTTAAAAATTTATTTGAACGATATTTTAATGTAAGGAATTATATTTGAAGGTTGATTTATCAAAACACCAAAAATATTAGCGTATGTAATGAGAATTTTTATCAGTGAGACGTTGTGCAACACTAAAATTCTAATATATTTTCATTGTTGTTGTTATTACTTACGCCAATACGTTATTACTTATACCAATATTACTTACCAATACCAGCAAGCCTGTGAAATCAAGCAAAATTTTAAACAGAGGGTGCGTTTCTTCTTTTTATAGTGGCGCCATCTATGGTGAAGAATACGACTTCAGCCACAAACACATAACAGCCAGTTTTACAGAGAGGTCCCAATCACACTTCATTAATTTATCCACAAACCACAGTTTTGACCTGAACCAGAGATCGATCAATCTCTAATTGATTACTCTCTACTGAGTTATTGATTTGTTATGGAAACGTGGAGGATTTTGTGACCCTGACAGATTAAATGTGCACCAGTCACACGGGGATCCTATGACCGGTGGGATTCGAACTCCCGTTCTCACGAACACGGGCTCCACATGCTACCAATAAGGCTCTCCAGGCACAGATTTTTTTATACAATTAGATAATTCTTAAAAACAGTTAAAAAAGTAATACAAAACAATATGGTGGTTGTAAAGCTTTTCTTCAAGAAAACTTTTCTTGAAGGGTGAGCAGCACCTATAATTAACCAACGAGCAGCACCTGTAATTAAATTAGAATGTAAATAACACTTTTTCGCTACTGGTTCTGTACAAATACTTTATTTACATCGTTTTATAGTTACATTACGGGATATTGGTCGAAGTCTAGCACTTTTAGGTAGAACAGTTTAAAGAAAAGGGTTGGATGGCCTGGTTGGTAGGGCGTTGGGTCCATGTTCAAGAGGTCTTGAATTCAATCCGCAACTGCCGAAGACTCCCCGTTTAGTAAATGGTGACTAATGCATATCTAATCTGTCGGGTCACAAAATCCTACATGTTCCCAAAACAAATCATACATCTGAGGGTACTGAATTGGAGATTGATCGTGATCTAGTTCACATCAAAATTACGATCTGTGGATGAATAAATGCATGTATGAATGGGAACGCCGTTTTTATGGCTGAAGTCGCATTCTTGATCATAGATGGCACCACTGAAAAACAAGAAATACACCCTGGCCTTAAACTCACTTGGTTTCATCAAGCAAGTTCGCTGGTGGTGGCAAGTGACAACAACAACAGTATAAAGAGGACCGATATCACACACCCTTGGTCGCTGCTAAACACTCACCGCCATATATGGAAATACTTATACTTTAGTTTCTTGTAAAGAAATTAAAAGTAAAATACGTTACTCTTACTTGTACTTCGTTACTTTTTAAAGTTAGTACTTTTTACTTGTTTTTCGTTACTTTATTAAATATAAGTATTAATTACAAATATGAATCATTATTTATCATTATTAATGATGAATTATTAATGAATGAATCCTTATTTATTATCATAACAAAAATGAAAGAAATCATTTTTTTCGGGAATTTTTAATTTATTATCCGAAAAACATTTTTTTAACTTAAAAATTTTTACATTTATGAATTTAATGAATTATTTAAGTTTTAACAGCTAACTTTTTCGAAACACTTTTGATGATTATAATTTCCTGTTGAACACTTAAACGTTGCAAGAGTAATTGATTGATTGACTATTCCAGTAACAAGCATTCTCTATTTTTGAAGAATCAGTGGTGATATACTACGTGAATACCTTTGGTGTTGAAAAGTAATTGAGATCAAAAAGTTAGAACGAAGACATTTTAAACAGGGAAAATGTGCTTTGAAATACTGTAAAATAAGTATAATGTCCGTAAACTATTTTCAGAAAATTAGTTTATTAAACCTCTAAATACCTAATTGCTATAATTATTCTGACATGGTTGCTTCCTCAAACGCTCTCTGAAAATTATTAATTAATTTTTTAATCCGTCTTAATTTATTTAATAAGTAAATCTCTAGAATATTTTAGTATGGATTAAAAAAAAATTCTATAGAGACTTATTTATTTTTAATTTTTTGATTTTCTAAAAAAAAACTTTTTTTTTTCTTTTTTAAATTTTTTATTAATCTTTAACTTTAATTAATCTTTAATTTTTACTTATGATAAAATTCATTGTGATGATTTAATGATTATGAGTTAATTAATTATGAGTGAGTGTGGCATATCACTATCACAATTATGATTATTAATAAATATTTTGACTTTGGTTTTGAAATTTATGATTTCTCTTAAGTTTTCGATTTTTTCTAAATGTACTTTAAAATCGTTACTTTATTGTTTTGTTAAGTAAACTCCTGATTATGCACGGAATTGAGTGGCCCACGAAACGCGGATAATCCACAAAATGCTTTAAGACACAAATCTTAATTTTATTATAGATAAATTATGAATTTCAATATCTCCCGTTGTCTTGCTCAGTATAATTAGCAGTTTTCTTCGCATTTCGTTCTTTTACATTTTTTTTTATTTCATGATGAAAAAGCCAACTTTTTTATTTCTTGGTGTTGGTAAGGCAGGTGGCTAAAATAAAACAGAAACAAGGTGACTTTTTACTCGAGAGCTCATATACTATTGAAAAAAGAACACACAAAACAATGTTCGAAACACGTGAATTAGTTCTTATAAGAAGAAATGTGCATACACCATTTTTACAAGCTCTTATCCGTAACAAAACTATAATAAACAACTGGCAACAATTTTGTAACTGTAATCATGCATATGGCTCATAAATAATTCAAAACTTTGTTTCGCTCCTTTGCCTTCAGGGGAATTTTGTGGGTGTTTAAGTGTTTATAAAATGTTTTGTTTAGTAAGTGTTTACTTATAAGCGTTTTGTGTTGTTATAAGTGGTTTGAGGGGGACCCCCATCATTCGTTAGTTATAAATTTTGTAACTAAGAGTTCCAAAAAAGTGTTACATAATGAGTAAATAAAGGATTGAGGATAATGCTTTCCCATTAATCATATGAAGGCCAGACTGCGAACACTAAATTTTTTTACTCGCCATCAATATCATTGCTTTGCTGGATTACGAATCTATTCTTTGAAATTTGAACTTCATCCTGCATTTGTAGTTCGACCGCTATAAATCACGACTCATATTGGCTCTTTATGAATACCTCACTGTTATCCGCCGAGAATCGGGAATTTACTGTACTTGTTCTTTTTTACCCGTTATTTTTTAAGCTACTTTTTACTCGTCACTCTTTACCCATTATTGTAATGTTATTGTAATGTTATTGATGTTATGTTTTTTATGTTGATGTTATAATGTTTAATATAATGTTTTTTTTTAATGTTGATTACTTTAAGTTATCAATTTTCTCGAAACCTATTTCAAAATAGTATTTTTTTTACAAATTCACTTTTACTTGTTTTTTTTTTAACTTGTTACTGGTTTTACTGGTTTAATGATAACTCTTAAGTGTTACTGCTAACTTCAAGGTTTTACTGCTAACTCCTAGGTTTTTCTGGCAACTCCCAGGCTGATTTTACTGGTAACTCCTATGATTTTCTGGTTTTACTGGTAATTCCTTATTTTTACTGGTAACCCCTAAGTTTTGTCTGGTAACCCTAGGTTCGGCTGGTTTTACTGCTAACCCCTAG